GAGAGAGAGAGAGAGAGAGAGAGAGAGAGAGAGAGAGAGAGAGAGAGAGAGAGAGAGATAGATCTGTTGTTCCTGTAAGGTGGTGGGACTGTGGGACCCCAGGCTGCTTGCTTGCCCTCCCATATATTCAATGGCTGCTTCCTGTGTCTACAGTGCTACTTACAAATTATGTGAGAACTTACTAGCTTTTAAGTTATCAGAGAGCCTAAAAGACAAACAACAAAAATCCACATATTCCACCTTTAATCCCAGCACCTGGGAAGCAGAGGCAGGTGGATCTCTGTGAATCCGAGGCCAACCTGGTCTACAAAGCAAGTCCCAGGACATCCAGGACTGGCATAGAGAGAAACCGTGTCTTGGAAAAAGAAACCTACACACATCAAAAGAAACCTGAAAAAAATCACGAGGTAATTTTCTTTTAGTCATACGACATGATGACATTTAGTTTGCGTTGTTCTCATGGGAAGAAGGGACTACATGGGGCCAAGGGGCTCATTGTTCCTCAAATTCTTTCTCAGAAAGAGACCACTTGAAATTTAGTTATGCATACTGTTTCCCCCCCCCCCCCCCCCCCCACACCCCCCTTTTTTTTTTTTTTAAAAGACACGGTCTCAACTGTCTCTAGCTGGCCTGGAACTTACTATGTAGACCAGATTGGCACTGAATTCATAGAGATTTGTTCACCCCTGTCTCCAGAGCATTGAGATTAAAGGCATTCGTCACCACACCCAGCCCTTAAAACACTTTTCTAACATTTGACCTGAGGATTGAGGCCTCAGGCTTGACAGCAAATGCCAGTACTCACTGAGCCATCTCACCAGGGACTCCAGTCAGATAGTCCCCTGCCCTAGAACTTGTTATGTAGAGAAGAGACATTGACTTCTGCTTCTACTTCCTGGACTGACCTCAGGGCTTAGTGCGTGCTCTGCAAGCACCCTACTAACTGAGTTTACATCCCTAGCCCTAGCATACGGTTTCTTGGCATTAAAACTACCCCCTGAACAAGATATGGCCCTGGGATTAAGGATACAGGTCTTGCTTTTCTCCTCCCCACCCTGTTATGCTATCTAGCACCGGAATGTGTCTGGAGATCAAGGTAGAAGCTGCGTTCTGAGGATGGGAGAGCAAGTTGGGGATGGGAGAGCAGGTTGGGGTAACCTGGGATCCTGTTGATCACTGAGTCACTCAGCAACCCTGCAGGACAAAGGGTAGGGCTTTGTGCAAACTACTGCTTTCACAATAGCAGAACCAAATTCTAGTCTAAAATTGGCCCCCCAAAGTGAATGCTAAGGCCAAATACTGCATGAGAAATCATAACCAGAAGGAGGGGGAGACGGATGGACAGCATCGAGTTGATAAGGGTAAGGGGCACAAATCAGACATACAAATAAAAATGTTGACAGACAATAATAGTGTTGCATAGCTTGAATGCTTTTATATTGATCAAGTTGTTTTTCAGTAGAGTCCCTGACAACAAGTCAGAAAGAGAAACATTCCAAATTTACAGGAAAACATATTGCTGATCGACTAAAGATGACTTTACAAAATATGGCTTAGCACAATCTTATGGTTGCTCTAGTGGTACGAGAGCTATCAAGAAATCGACATAGCTATCATCAGTCTTTGAGGTTTGATTGCTCAGGCTGAGGTGACAAGGGACTTGGCCATCTTTTCTAGGTCTGCTCTAGGATGGCGTGTAAAAACCAGGAGGTTGATTATCTCTGTAATTCCACAGTGATAAGGGCTGAGACAATCGGGTGTTACTCTGTGTCAACTCTTCGGATTTGGTTAAGTTCTGTTTCCCTGAAACATAACTGTGAGCTCACCTAGTTCACACAGTGCTTTTCAACATAAACAAACAGAAACTGGCTGAGGACGGAGGGCAAAGCCCAGGTCTGGTCTAAGTCCCACCAATTTTTCCCTGCTGATGCCACCTCTTTGTTGCCTTAGGAGGATGAAGAAGCTACTTACTACCCCTCAAATGATAATTTTTAAGAATAAAGGTGTGCAGGAGTTGGGGGAGGGGGCCAACCATGAACAGTGGTGAGAGAACTTATACAAGCCTCAGAGCATATTTAAGTCCCATAGGACCCTGGGAGGAAACTAAAAATACTGCTACACGTTTTGAGATCCATTCACTCTGCCTCCCTACCCCTCAACGAACTTCACTTAATTTTTCTCTCTGGAAAATCAACACACCATGTGTGGGTTCTAGAGAGTGGTACCAGCAGGGAACCCACCAGATGAAGGAAGTACATTGGGGTGTCTAATTTGTTCTTTGGGAAGGTGCTGGAATGTAGGATATAAATATCTTCTCCATTCACAACCAGCCAAATTCCCCAGGCAAAACATTTAGCCTGATGCTGATGCAATTCTTAGGATGAGACACAGCATCTTAAAAGCAACTGTGGAAGTGTGGGATACAGGAAAACAAGAGCTCGGACCTTTGGTTTTTAATTGGTAATATTACCCAGCTCACTTGGACACTCTACTCTTTGGGGTTATTTTCTTGTCTTGTCCTCCCCAAGATCCCATGGCAGTGACTGCTGTGTCTGAATGGCTGGCGGCCCTGTACAATGGCAGAGAGAGGCCAGATGCAGCTTTTTCAAGCTTCACAGAATATTATGTAAGTGTAACAGTAGCATTTTCATGACCACACTCAACAGCTTGTTTCCAGAAAAATAATAAAACAATCTCCAAGGACATTTAGACTCTGCAAGTGCTCTGCACACAGGGCGGTGATAAACATTTCCATCAAACAACGATGGTTTGTTAAACAGCCTGGTACCACTGAAATGTACCCAGCACTCTCTACCCCTCCTCCTTTTGATGCTTTACTGAGGGCATTCTCAGAATCCAGGTTGAATAAGGGTATCAGTTCTCTGTCTTCTGTGCTTTCCCCCTCTACAGCACTGTTCTATGAAAACCTGGTGGGTTCCGCTTGTCTGATGTGCTTGGGGCCAACCAAAGAAGTCAACCTTCTTAGGTCTTCAGTGGCATTGGTTCATATATTCCAGAGTCTGGAAATTAGTTTCCATAGTGTGATCTAATTCTGTTCTCAAGTTCCATGTGTTGTTTATCTTTATTTTACACAGATGGAAAGAGAGGCACAGATCCCAGGTTCCTAGGCTGAGGGCTAGTTGATGTTGAGCAGTATAGAGAACCAAATTCCAGTTTCTCAGTATACAGGGCACTGGGCAGTGCACTTTCCACTCATGTAATTGAGCACTACTAAGATGTATGTGGGTAAAAGACAGGCAGGAGGGAAGTAGACAGATAAACTGAGCCTGAAGATAAAGGACCTTCAAAAACCTAGGATCCTCTGTACAGATCCTTACCCATCTTGCAACCAGGAAATGCTTTAATTGGTCCAGTATCTGCTAAGTATCAATGTAGCTTTGTCTAGAAACATGATAACATTAAAGTATCCTTTTCCCATAATATCATTAAGAAACCTGACTTTCTTTTCAATACATAAAAACAGCTATTTAAAAATACCACCTTAAAGCATTCATGTAATTTATTTTCTTTAAATAATAATTCGCTACAATCCTGCCACAAATTAAAAAAAAAATTGACATGGTATTCACAGAGCAGAATTCTTTAGGACAATCAAAATCCCAGAGTACTTAGAATAAATTAACATCAAATTGTGTTTATATTCAGATAGTCTGATTCTCTCCTCTGAAATGAAATGGAGACCATTGTAACCTAGGGTGAATGAACACATTTGTTCTTCTGTACAGAGATGAATTCTTTACATAAACTCAACAGTAATTTGAATCAAGTTAGGAATCCTGAGAAAGTCACCCACCCAGACACACACATACGCACAGAGACAGACAGACAGACAGACACACATCCACGCACACACATACACTACCCTTGATTGAGAAGCAGAGTTTCTCATGGTCACTTACTAGAAGGTCATTTCTCAGAAGGGCCCAAAATTCTGAATATTTGGATGCTATCATCCCCCCACCCCCAAGAAAATCGTCTTGTTTCAAGTGTGAGAGCTTGAAGTAGCAGCAATCCAGCGATTCAGTAGTCGGCGAATCCAGTCATGGCGTCCGAGTATACAGTAAGGGGTGAGCAGAGGCTCGCCTGCTTCCAAAGCTGAGACTCAGCACTATGCAGAGTCTAGTTCCCAGTCTCAGCTGAGAAGTCACCTGAACATACATCATGAAACTGGTTCAGGCACTGGTCGTGATCCTGAAGGGAATTTGGGGTGGGGAAATAGGGTGCTTTGGATCGAAGAAGGGGTGGAGATGAGGCGGAGGGAGGGAGGGAGGGTAGAATAGATCCTGTTCATCCTCCAGCCTGAAGGCCCTTGTGCCCTGCCTGTGGTACATTCATCTGAGTTTTCCCTGGTGTCAGGGGTGATGGACACCAATTGCCAAGGAAGTTCAGCCCTTGGAGTCCCACACAGAGCAACACACAAGACACCTGAGCAACCACATGTAGCCATAGTCTGGCTTCTGGCGGGAGGGCGTCTACAGCACTGCTGGCATCCCCCCTCTCACTGCTCAAGGATGGATGACAGGGGACGGTGATATGGAGGGAGAAACACAGTTCCCAACTGGAGATCCCCTGTTGCTTATCTCTGGGCCCAAAGGAGTCATAGCCGCATGCATATCTACAGCATCAGTTCTTATGTACAGGGTATCTTTTCCACAGAAAGTTAAAGTGCCTGGGTTCAGATAAGCTCATCCCTTTCCCACAGTGACCAGCATCTCTGGGGGCCTCCAGGGGAATGTGTGTCCCCTTCTTCAGGAAGTTGCCCTAGGGAAGGAGGAATGACCACTTCACAGTTGTCCTAACTGGGATCCAGCCTCTGGACTAAGCCTTCTTCATACACTCGAAGAATTGCTTCACACACAAACTTGTATTGGCTCTGGAAGAGAAAAGAGAGCTGTCAAGGCCAGAGCCCCAGGAGTGCTGCCTCACGCCATGCATGAGAGGGTCTATGAAGCACTTATATTTATTCCCTGTGTGCCGACTCTGGGCCTCATGTTGGGAAATACTGAGGTGAATGCAAGCCTTAACAGACTGGATGGGTGAGTGGGGTGCCCTTGGAGAAGTGTGGGCCGAGGGGTAGCTGACTGCAGAGCAAAACAGTGAGGTGTGTGAGCTAAGCACCATCGTTCATCTTTCTCCACTTGATTCCTAAAAAGAGAGCTGCCACAGTTCCTGCTGTCACGCCTTCTTTACCAAGATAGGTCCCTCAAATTATGAGCACAAATAAACCCTTCCCCTCTCTCTGTTAGGTTCTTGGTCACAGTAATAACTAATTAAGGCACTGACGTGGAAACCTTGGCGACATCTGTTCTGAGGCGTGTATGTAAGGACCCCACCATCCTGGCCTAGAACTGGGCATGTGTAGGGGCTGGGCGTGGGGTGATGGAGGTTACAGACACAGGAGGGCTGGGGTTTCGGTGTGGGATGATGAATCTAGAGTCCCTTTTTTCTTAAGATAGTTAGGGACAGATGCTAATTATTTAGATAGCCCTTCAGTATCCATGGGGATTGCTTCTAGAACTCACTATGGACACCAGACCCTCGGTTGCTCTGATCTTTCCTGTGAGTACCCTTCACATATCATCTTGTATACTTTTTTTTTTTAAATCACCTTTTTGGCAAGGTAGAGTGGTTCATCCCATCATTTGGGAGGTAGAGGCAGGTAGATCTCTTGAGTTTCAGGCCAATCAGGACTATAGAGTTAAGACCCTGTCTTATGGGTGTGAAAAATAAAATCACCTTGTGAAGCTGGGTGCTAGGATTACAGCTCAGACCAGACATGAGCCATTGCACCCAGGAAGCTGAGGCAGGAGGATTGCCTTGAGTTCTACAGCAGTTTGGGCTACAGAATAAGACCCTGCCTAAAAGCAAACCCCATTGCAAGTATCACCAAAACCCAAAAGAAAAGCAAAAAATTACCTCTAGATATTTCTAATAGCTAACACAGCATGAATAGTTATTCTGTACTTTGTGGAGAATAATAGAGAAAAGCACTGTCCCTCCTCCCCGCCAAATCTTTAGATAGGTGATCACTTGAATCCTTGGATGTGGAGCACAGATACAGAAGGCTGACAAGGTCTTCCTAAGTTGCCCAGGTAGCCCTTAAGATTGTAATCCTCCTGCCTCAAGCTTTAGACTAGCTGGGATTAGATTCTTACACCAGCAGGCCTGGCTTGGGGGAGGAGGGGAAGGTTATGGGGTTTTAAACAAGCATTTATTTAGTCTTCCGTACTGCACAACAGTGAGGATGATGGCCATAAATGGATGGTTTGTTTTTTCTTTTCCTTAGTTATCTGTGTGGTGATGAGAGAACGGCTTGCCTTTCTGGAGATACAACTCGGGTTGGTAACAAGAATCCTTACCTACTGACCTCTCTCTATGGCCTGAGTTGGTTTTTCTCAATCGTATTTCCCATGTACAAACTAAGGACTCATGCCCTGTTAGGGAAATCTTACTACCTCTGTCCACCAGCTGGTTACTGAGTTCTAATTACTCAGAGCTGGTTAGAACACAGACATACTGTTCACTAACCCCTCCCACCTCCTCCCACTCCCCCCAAAAAAATACTGCTGGAGGTTTTGTCAGGAGGCCACTTCTCTGTCTTTGTCAACTCATTCTTAAATATTCTTCTAGAACATTCTTAGATACCCCTGGGACTTTGCCCATCATGACTGAGATTACAAACTAAGCCTATTTTACTCAAACCGAGAGTGGATGTCTACTATTTAGACAGCCCAGTCTGCTGAACGAATTATCAAAGGCAGGATGGATCCCATCTACAAGGTGGGTAAACTGAGGCCTATAGAGGGGTTCATGGAGCACCCAAAGGTTGTTAGTGTATGAGGAAGAGGTCAAACATACTCTACTCTTCTTGCAGCTCAAAATGACGAGCAGATATTTCCTCCTAGGGACATTTGTCATGTCAAGTGTGCTGGCACGACAGAGTAGGAGACAGCCCGTGGTGAGGGTATCTGAGTAACATTGCTTTCTTCTGATGGGTAATGACGAAATGCAAGCGAGACTGCTCATGGGCTGAGTGGCAAATAGGATACATCAGAAATAAATAGAATGCATGTCAGACGGGCCTGGGTTTTGTGGTCACTGTGTCTCTGACAAGCTGTGTGATTCTGGGCACCTGACTCAGTTCCCTTGAGCTCAGTTCTCTCCACACTCTTCCTGGCTTATGGACGTTCCTTGTGGGAGCTCAGGAAACGTAGATCTCTGCCTTTTGTTGTTGTTGCTTAGACAGGGTCTCAGTATATAACCCTGACTGTGCTGGAACGTTTTCTATAGATCAAGATGCTCTCAAACTCAGAGATCTGCCTGCCCCTGTCTTCTGTGTAGGAGGAAAGGCATATGCTACCATACCTAGCCAATCTCTGCCATTTGTCTACTACTACCATTTTTTATTACTGAGTTTCTACTTACTGATGTCTGCACCATCATGGCGCGCTGGTCTCTCATTTTCCGGACAATATCCAGTGGATAAACAGGCAGGTTCCTTTCAATTAAGCACATGGCTGTTTCCATAGTGACTAACACACCTGTTCGACCTATCCCAGCACTATGGAGGAGAGAGAAGTAGACACTCAGGATCTGTCTGGGCATCATGTCTGCAAGGCAGAGTTGAATCCCTAATCAAGGTCTGTGTTTACCCAGGGACAGCCCGGCTGTTGATTTCAAGAATAGAAAGCACACACATTCAGGTGTGACCTTAAGCTCCTTACCAAACCAAACCAAACCAAACCAAACCAAACCAAACCAAACCAAACCAAACCAAACTAAACCCATCCCCATAGGTACTAAGGCGGGGACAAGAAAGCCATCCAGGAAATGCAAAATCCACTTTCTCTGAATCATGCCTACTGTCAGGGTCAGAAAGTGAGGCATGGTGGTTTTCCTTTTCTGCATCCAGCTGTGCTTACATGTTTATGATTTAATTAAGTTCCAAATATTTTGAAATTATTAGAAAACGAGCAGTTTTACAGGAGCATGTGACTTTGTGGGATAAGGGTGGGTCTGGTGTCTGCCCATTTCTTCTGGCCTTTCCCAAGGGGTAGAACCATCAAAAAGAGAATGCAGCGAGGCTCAGTACCTGCAGTGAACTAGGGCAGGCTCACCGTCTACCCTCAGGGACCTCACGTACTTCACAAACTCCAGGAAGTCTGAGGAGTCATCAGGCACGCCGTGGTCAGGCCACGCAACATACTGGAGATGGGTCACTGTGTGTTCTTCCCCGGTCTGTGGAGGATGTGGTAGCCATGGTGAGTCATCAAGCCAATGAGCCCTGCCTTGGATACCAGCCAGGGTGGCCTTATCCTCAGTGTCCTCTTGTGTCCCTGCATACAGCTCTGTCATGGTCTCTGCCAACTCCCACAAGGCTCCCACCCTCCCAAAACAGCATCAGTCTCGCCCTAAGACGCTGTCTTCTTGACCTCTTTTGCCTCCGGCTGTTTCTTCCTCTTGCTCCTATGCATCTTGCAGTCACAGTCACCCATGCTGGCTCTGTATACATGCACATTCTTCTGTAGGGTGCTGAGGATCTAACCTGTGACCTTGCTCATGGTAATTACAGGTCCCAAATGATAATTTGGCTAAACACCCTCCTACTGCTGATTCCTATCCTCAATACACATACACATACAATGAAGTTTACCATTTTAACTAATTTCAGAAATAAGGTTTACTGGCATTAAGTGTAGTTACAATGCTGCCCAACTAGCATTGCTAACTCCCTTCTGGAACCTCTCATTTTTATCACCCAAATAAAAACTCTGTAGCCATTAGTGTAACTCCCCATTTCTCTCCCTGTCTTTTTTTTTTTTTTTTTTGGTTTTTCAAGACAGGGTTTCTCTGTGTAGCCCTGGCTGTCCTGGAACTCACTCTGTAGACCAGGCTGGCCTCGAACTCAGAAATCCGACTGCCTCTGCCTCCCAAGTGCTGGGATTAAAGGCGTGTGCCACCACTGCCCGGCTTTTCCCTGTCTTCTAACCAGGGCAAATACCATTATCTTCTCTGTGTCCTATGAGTTTAGTCTTTTAGGTATTTAGATAGAGGTAATCTTAGTATTTATCCTTCTGACTGGCCTCTTTCGTTTGACATGATGTCTTCCAGACTCATCCCATAGTGGGATTTATCCAAAATGTCCTCCCTTTTTTGAGGTTAACTACTATTATATTACATGGTTTACCCATATAGCTCTTGATGGGCAGACCTCAGGGTTGCCTCTCCTGCTTGGCTACTGTGAATGGTGGAGCTATGCACACAGCGTACTGGCTCTCTGTCAGTAAGAGTTTCGCTTACTGACCTGCCTACCAGGCAGCATTGCAGCAGAGCTGAACACCAGACCCCACAAGGACTACAGACTGGGCTTGCCCCTCTACTATGCCCCTCAGAGCCCTGCTCACCTCAGTGTTTGTAACTAGCATTTCTCGGGACACGTAAGCAATGGTACAGTCCTCTGCCTGACACTGGATGTGAAAGATGCCATGGTCCATGATGTCAGGGGGATCTGGCCAGTACTGGTGACATTTGGTCTGTAAGAAACCAGAGAATACAAGTCAGGTTTTTCTTAGAGCATAACTAGAGGCAGGTAACTGCATGACATCCAGTCACATCCATCCAAAGAGACATGACAAGAGAGAAGAAACTCAGATGAGACCCACTTGTGCCTGTGGTCTGAAGGGAGTCAGCTTACCTTCTAGGGTTTGTTCACTGGGAGAGCAGCAGGGCCTCAATTTAGGGGCTACCCACACCCTGCCCAGGCTGACCCAAGCTCCTTGGGCCTCTTTTCTGTTCTCAGGGCTCCCCTCTCCCACCTCAGCGCTGTTCATCTTTGGCCCTACCTCTGTCAGGAGCCTTGGGACACAGCAGTTAAGAGCTCACTTGGGTATCAGGGCTCTACTGGGAGAACTTCCCACCCCATTTATCGGCCATTTGACTTCCAACAGCTCCTGACCTCCATGAATCTCAGATGTTCAAACACTGACAGAGGCCAGCGAGGGTGCAGCATGGGGTCACTTGTGATTGAGGTCAACAGTGGTCATCAACACTATTGCCGTGGGAGCTACAGCAACTGAATTAGGTTGGTCACGCTTCTCAAAAGTCCTGATTTAAAAATCTCCAGGCTGAGACAACTATGCTTTTCCATGTGGACTGAGCCTCCTACAATCTCAAATGCAGAGATTTTCATAGAAAATAGGGTCTGGGGCATACACATTGCACTTGCCCTTCTGAGGGTGGTGAAGGAACGGCTCACTGGGTAAAAGCACTTGTTGAGCAAGCCTGATGATGAGTTAACCCCCCAAACCCTGGCGGGAAGAGAGAACTAACTCCCATAAATACTTGTTTATTTCCACATGTGTGCTGTGCTCTAGCGTGTTGAGTGTGCGCGCATGTGTACACCCCCCCCATAATAAACAAAATAAAAATTGTAAAATACTTTTTAAAGATGGGACAGAGGCTGAAAGAACTGGCTGCTCCTCCAGAGGACCAGGGTTCAATTCCCACCACCCACATGGCAGCTTGAAACTATTGGTAACTCCAGTGGATCTGATCCTTTCTTCTAGCCTCCCTGGGTACCAGGCACACAGTAGTACACAGCCATACGCACAGGCAAGAATACTCATATACATAAAATAAAATTAAAATAAGTAAAAATAAACAAAAAAGAAAATTCTCAATGGAGGCAGGACTTCCTATACAGTAAAGGTAGGATTCAGAGCACCGGGCACTAAGTGGTTTACCCTGGCCACAGAGCTGCGTGACAGTCTAGCATTCGTCTTGTGATACGTCAGTGTCTCAATATGGCGGCCGTGGCTTTCTAATGTTACTGCCTTCCCATGTCCTATTTCCTCCTCCAAACTTTGCAGCCTCTTCCCATAAACCACTGTAGATCCTGCTGGTGGATTCCACACCAAGTGCACATCTAAATGGTCCATAGTGACTCTGCCGAATTTTTACCCCTTTAACAATAACAACATTATCATTACTACTGTTCTTGTTATGATAGGTTTCTCTGTGCTGGCCTAGCTAGTTCAAACCAGTTTCTTGCCCCTTGACTATCTTGCACTGTAGGCATGTACCATCATGTACGGCTTAAAGAAAAGAGCATTTCTCCTCAAATCTAGACTGCTTCCCATAAAAATGACATTTGTTTATAGCGGAGAGGTGATATATAGCAAACAGACACATGGAATTTGTTGGGGAAACAGCTTTGCTAGCCTTCTTTTCAAATGTCACAGTGAGTATCTGAAATTAAAGTATGCTGTGGGGGCTGGAATTTAAGGTCTATTGGGACAGTTTAGATGGGAAACCTCTCCTGGTGGGGAGTTACTCTCTGACTCTCCAAGATTCAGAGGCTCTCTGTCTACGGGACTAGGGACAGAGTTGTATGCCTGTCTGTCCATCTGAACCTGTGTCTATCTCATGTATACAGGAGGAGAAAACAGCTCCCCAGGCTCTCCAGGGTCCTAATCTCCAAAGCGACCCCCTTGTGCAAGGCAGAGTTACACAGGCCGATGTTCTCTGAGCATCTTTACCCCAAAGGAATCTGCCGTAAACTGGACTATTTTTAGGTCTATTTGGATCTGGACGTATTGGGGATGCATCGGAGGAATTAAAAGTCTTGAAGGTCTTGGCTCTCAATCTTGGCTCTAGAACCCAACGTGTGTCTTGGAAGCCTGTTTCTCATGCCTGCTGGAGGAGGGGTGCAAAAGCCCCACATCTTCTGAATAGTATCTATTAAGCTGCAGGGGGTGCTTTTATGGACAGTGCACAGCTCATTTTTGGCTTGAGACCACTCCCTGAGGTAGGGACAATGACTACGTGGCACTGACTTAACTGAGGCATCCCGGTTGATACCCTCTGAAGGGACAAGTGCACATCAAGGCTGTGAGGAGACGAGAGTGAATCTGCTACCATGGGGAAGCAGGTAGGAGAAGGACAAAGGCCGCTGTAGCTGGTTGGTGGGGCATAGGCTACAGGTGGGCCTACTCGGAACACTGTCTCTACAAGTCAGTCACAGGCTGATGAGACTGCTCTCTTCTACTCTGAGACAAGAGTTGGGGAAGGAAAGGTGACACTGAAATGACTTTGGAAAGGAAGTGCTTTAGGGGACGAGCAGAACACATTGAAGGCTGAGCTTCTGGAAGAGGAAGACTGCTGTCTCAGGAAGATGGGCCAGATGGGGTTATGGAAGAGGACCTGCTGTGGACCCAAGCAGGAAGGCTGTATCGTCAGCACTTGATTTCTTGCTAACTTAGTTGGTTGACAAGCATCCCTGGGGAAGGTTGGATGAGTCAGAGATGTTAGGGCATTATCTAGCCTCTGGATGCTCTCCAATCCAGACAAGGTAATTCAGAAACAAAGGACAGGCACAGGAGGGGGCAGGTGAGGCAGGAGTGGACAGATGTCCCGGACAGAGTGGGCAGGGCACTTGGGACTGAAGGCCTAGGACAGAGGAGGCAGGGACAGATAATTCAGGCCAAAGGAAAAGGAGGCCGAAAGTGAAGGGTCACCGGGGCACCTAGGGGTGACCATTCAGCAGAGCTGCACAAAGGGTACAAGTTGCTCTGGGGACATGCAACATTCTGCTCTGTGCATCTACGAGCCATACAGGGCATGGGCAGGAAATGTTGGACCGACCCTCTGGCAAGGCCCAGATGAAGGAGGATGGACTAGCCTATGAAAACTCTGGATCAATGAGCTGCTGCTTTCACTGTGGGAGACAGAGAGGAAGGTCCTGGGAACGGGCAGGAGCAAGAGGGACACAGTGGGAGTCATGTGTGCCAATGGCATTAAACAGTGAGAGGATGAACTGAAGACAAAGGAGAGCTAAGACCTGCTCCAGATGGCTGGTGTCAGTGCTCAGATAGATGCGTGCCTGTGGCTCAGACGTGGGCTCATGGTACTGGGCTGCACATGCGCATATGTGTGTACACACCAGGGGCTGGTTGGTGGCTTTGGGATCATCTTACAAAATGGCACTAGGTAGATGTGTTCAAGCAGAAAATAAACAGCTGGACTTAGCGTTGAACCTTCCATCACGACACCCGAGGGCCCCAGGAAACTAACTAGATTCAGAAATAAGTTTCACGGGGAGGGAGCCATCCATCTAACCCCCATGTGCACATTCTCAAGGACATACAGAGAGCAAGAGGTCTGTGCTATCCCAAACCAGAGAATCTAACCAAAATAAGGACAGAGGTCAGGCTGTAGACTCTCTGACCTCAGGTGATGAGAGAGTCTTCAGGGGGCTGGCTCCCTAAGACTCAGGGCAGTACAGGAAGGGCACAGGACTCTAGTATGTGCCTGCTGGGAGACCAGCTTTCTTCAGGCACGACATAGGGACAACAAACAGGACATCCTGGAAAGTTCATCTTACATGAAAGGAGGGGCAAAGCCATTCACCTGGAATGACTGATTCGGAAGTGGGTGTGGACTGGGGCTGGAGGACAAAGGGCACTGGTCACCGGAGAATCTGTAACAGGAGAGGGCAGCGGGCACCTGGGATTTTTAAAGAACAGGTTTCTAACTATTGATAAATGACAGAGTAAGTTGCCAGAGCCAGAGATGCTGAAGGGATGGGCAGGCCTCATGGGAACTCTCAAATGCATGGAAGCTGGGTGGTGAGTTACAGTAAGAAGAAAAGGTTGGGAAACAGAGAAACAGGCTGGGTCACAAGGAGACCTCAGATGACAGGGAAGAACGGCTGCAGCTGGGAGCTGGAGGGGCAGGCCCTGGAAGAGTGATGGATAAGGGTAAGGTTTCTCAGATCGGATCGTAGAAAGCTTTTTTTCCCTGACTTGGAACAAGGGGATCAAGGGAAGTTGGGGTTGCCACCAGGGCAGAGCATCTGTCATCTGCCATTCCTTCAGGGGCGCCCTGTTCTGAGAAGAATGACTGTCTAGCTGGAAAGGGGAAAGTGAATCATCAAACAGACCAGCAAGTCAGCCGTGGTGCTGAGTCACTGGTAGATTCAAGTATCAGCTCTGAAGAACTGTATCATGAGCTCAAAGACCTCAGGGGACAGTACAGAGCCAGCTCCACAAACTGCTCCCAAGGAAATGTGGCGTCTGAGCACCTAAGTTCCAGAATATAAGGCTGTAAAAGGCAGACAGAGCACAGCGTATCTGCGACCAATAACATACTAGAATCAGAGGCTGCCAGTGCCAGGTATGGGGACAGATTCTTTTTCCTGGGAGTCAAGTGCCTCACTGTACCACCAAGAAAGCCTCCGCCTGGGTCTAGGGCCACTTGAACACTCCAGCCCTAACACTTTTGATCTGTTTTCACAATACATAGCAGAGAACGAGATTAGTGTTGCTGGCCTCAGGTGCAGGGCTGAGGAGAGAAGAACACTTGGGCTTTCATAACATTTTATAATTGTTTTGTTGGCTCACTTTGAGAAAAGGGTCTCAATGTAGCCAAGGTTGGCCTTGAACTCCTGACCTTTGTACTCCCTGCTTCTCAAGTGCTGGATTACGGGTGTTTGACACTGTGTTTGGCTCTGTTTAGCTCTTCTTGAGATTTTTACACATGCTTTTTACCTTTGGCAAACGATATTGGATTTAATGTCTAAGAAATGTTAAGAGAATAAAAGTTAATAACATTAAAGCAAAAAAAAAAAGAGTTAGCGATTCTGGTAATAGTCATTAAGGTAACTACAAACTGATGTTATTGGGTCTGCTGGCTAACATGTGTACAGCAATAATGGTGATCAATTGGGTGAGCTAGTGCACATGTTTCCTCCTAGCACCTGGGAGGGCTGAGACAGGAGGATTAACACCAGCTTGGTGTATAGAGTAAAACCCATTCCCCCAAACAAAACAAAAACCACAAAAATTACAGTAAACAAAAAAAGTTCGGGGCTGGAGAGATGGCTCAAGTGGTTAAGAGCACTGTCTGCTTTCCCAGAGGTCCTGAGTTCAATTCCCAGCAACCACTTGGTAGCTAAAGATCATCTGTAATGGGATCCGATGCCCTCTTCTGGTGTGTCTGAAGTCAGCTACAATGTACTCACATGAATAAAAATAAATCTTTAAAAAAAAAATGACCAATGTACCCAAGCACTCTTCAGAGGTTTCTCATAGCAGTTAGCTCAGTTCCCCACAGTCTCACAAAATGGGTGATATTTTGCATGATTCCTTAAACACACAGGTAGAAGTGACAACAAGAACTGACCCTGGCTGGGTGGTGGGTCTGCCTTCTTACCCACTATGCCAAGTAACCAGATGGATGCAGGTGCTTTAAGAAAACAGAGGGTACAGCCCTGTAAGCTAGCTTAGGGAACAGGGAGTCTCTAAGTTCAAAAAGGGCCAAGTAACTCTATCTCTTATTAAAACAAAACCAGACAAGAATGAGGCTTTCAAAGAGCTGAGTGGAGAGGTAGAGCATGGTAACTTCAGCTGCACTGCAGACAGTCTCTCACAATGAGGGGGTAGACAAGATGGAAACCAGGGAGGTAAGAACAGATGCTAGGATTAGCAAGCGCCCTTTGATGCGTGCCTTCAGTGCCTCCGAGACCAGCATTCAGGAAGAGGTTTCTACTGCCCCTTGGGCACCTCATACTTTTCTATTCTGATTTATGGGGTGAGAAGAGACTCTGGCTAATCTGTGAGTGGCAAGAAGCTGAGAGTCAAGACTACAGCAGAGAAGTGAAGTACTTGAAAGTGCTAAACTCCAATGACGATGATGTCATTTGGGGGGACACTAGGAACACGAAGTGTTTCTCTGAGCTCTTTATATATACTGTCCAGTCTTCCCCAGTCCCTCCAATGTGGTGGGCACTGTTACTATCTCTACTGCACATTCAACAAAGCCAAGGCTAGACAGGCTAATAGCTTACTCAGAAGGAACTATGTTTTCAGCCCAGTCAGGCCCAGTGCTGGATAAAGATGCCAGGAGTCAAGGGCATGTATAACAGAGGGACGAGACACTGCCTCAGCAGACTACAGTCTTACCGTGTGAGATGATGAGACATCGATCCCAGGCAGGCAGAAACAAGGCAACACAGATGGCAGCTGTCAGGTGGGGGGTGGGGGGGATAAGACTTGGGGGAAGTACTACCTTCTAGCTTGTCTTTTTTAGATCTATTTATCTTATGTGTATGAGTGTTTGGCCTACATATATGTCTGTGCACTACACATATGCTAAGTATCCATGGGGCTCAGAAGAGGGTGTCCAGTTCCCTGGCTATGAGCTGCCATCTGAGTGTTGGGAATTGAACCCAGGTTCCCTTAACCACAGAGCCATCTTTCCAGCCCTTGTAGTTTGTTTTAATAGATGTACAGGAGGGTGTAGGCAGGAAGAGGACTTTCTCATCACTGCGGGTGTCCACTGGAGATCTATAGGTCAGGAAGAGGCCCTCTCCAGCCCTGAGACTCACGTTCGCAAACAACAGCACAGTCTACACACATTTGAACTGGAAATGAAGCCACTTACCCGCCCTCGCTCTGTGAGAGTCGTCAGCATGACAACAAGAGACAACTTCTGATCCCAGACAACTTGCCAAAACTGTGCACAGGTGTGTGGCAGCGGTCCCTGAGTAGCAATGTACTTGTTCACAAGGTCAGCAGCGGGAATCTCCATCTATTGTGAGATCGTAAGGTGTTATCCATAGGCTGTCAGCTGACCAAGGCGAGCAGGATTCTCCATTTACACTCTCCTAATAGCTTAGCTGAACCGTACCAGAAAAAGATCTTATCCTCTCACAGTCAGGGGAAAAAAAAAAAGGTGCAGCAAAAAGCCACTTCCAGATTTGATCTTAATAACGTGACAAAAGTAGTGAGTGGGATGTCTGAGAGGACCAGTTTTTACAGGGACATTTCTGCAAAGTCAAGGTTTAGCACACGAGCGGCCAATTCTGCCACCTGGCTAGCTAAGAGCAGTTTTCAGTGTGGCCCATTAAAGTTTGCCAATCCTGGCTTTAAATGGAGAAATCTAAGTTCAAGTAAGTTGCCCATGATGAGTATGTCTCCATAACAGGTAAACCTTTCCTTTTTTCTCTCCTGGGTTATATATATGGAGGAAGTATTTCTTTGACTTAGAGGCAGAGGAACACTAATAACACAGGGGCAAAACACAGAGAGTTACGAACACACCATCAGCAGAAGAAAACGGCAAGCGGCCGGTATACAGGCAGGAGATGGTGGAATGCGAACATGTATGAACCCCTCTCTCAAAGTTTTGTGGCTTTTTGAGTCATTCAGTGACCCTGGCTTTGCACCTCTGTAAAGTGAGACCACCCATAGTCTCACTAAGGCATTGTACTACAGTGACGGAGTGAACGGGAGCATGCTGTGTCACGGAAAAAGTCGCCCTTGCTGTCCCCACCCTCATTACTAGGATCAAAACTTCCTTTTAAACTGCCCAGATTCCCAGCTTACGTTCACATAACTGGCATTAATATAATCTTCATTTCCCTGCAATAATACCCGGGTGGTGTCATCTGTGGGGGAGAGAAAAATTTACCATTTATTCTGGATGTTATTTTTATCATCCCAAGTAAACAAGGGTTCAGTTCCCCAGCCCCATCTGCAGCTCTTGCCTCATTAGCATAAACACTATTCCCCAACTGTTGGGAGTCTGAGATGGCTGCAATAAAGATGATGGTGTTTACAGACACACTGAAAACCATTCCAGAATCCCAGACAATCTGTTTTAAAAAGGAAGCATTCTCTCATGTAGGGGAGGGAGGCATCGGGCCGGATACTCACAAGGCAGCACATCTTTGTATCGGTTTTTATCCAAATTCTGAGGCAGCTTTGCAAATGTGACGGCTAAGCCGGGCTTCTTTCTGTAGAGTTGCTATTAGACAAATAAAGACATTTTTAAAACCCCATTGCTATGAAAAAAACCATGAACTCATATCCTAATGGCAGAGGTCTTCATTCATGTGAGAACCCCCTCCTCCCCCCACCCCCGCCCAATCTTAACATTTCAAAGTGACCCTACGGTACACAGAAAAAGAAAACCTCGGTAAGAAACTCTGGTAGAACAAGTCACCGAAAGTCGTATATATATACTTAAACTTGAGGGTCTGTAGGGGGAGGAAGTCAGGCAGGGGTTGAGTCACAGACAATGGATCTAAAGTAAAACCTTATTTTTATGACAGTTGACAAGTGTGGGGGATAGAGAATTCTGACTCACCTAAGTCAGTCTAACACTACGCTTCCCCCAGTTCAATGGAATGAAACATACTCATTGCTGAAGAGCAAGAACGCTTCATTCACTGTTTCAGTAACACATTCCCATAGCACGCAACACTGATCCTGACATAGTAACTTCATTTAAAGAGACATTTCCCTACCCGTGCAATTAGCACTAGAGATTAAAATAAAGCCTTCTAATGTACAGACCGGACTGGAGACAGTGGCTGATGTGATTTACACCACAGCTGTGAGAGGTATTAGTAGGATTTCTGTAAGTGGCAGGTGGAGGTTAGTTGCTTGGTCCAAGATCATAAGTAAAGGACAAGCTCGAGTCTAAAGGAAGTGGCCACACCCGGTTCTCATTTCTATACAGCTGTTTCCACAGTATTTACAACTGTCACCAAACCCTCATGCAAGTGCATCTTGACTCCCCAGGAATTTAAACCCGTATTTTTCCTTCTCAATGTTGGAAGGGGTGCTTTTTTTTTTCTTAATGCAAATTTGGGAAACTCAGACTGGCACTAAGTAAAACAAAAACCAAAAAATAAAAACCTACTTGTGCTGGGCAGTGGTGACGCACGCCTTTAATCCCAGCACTTGGGAGGCAGAGGCAGGTGGATTTCTAAGTTCAAGGCCAACCTGGTCTACAGAGTGAGTTCTAGGACAGCCACAGCTACACAGAGAAACCCTGTCTCGAAAAAACAAAAAACAAAACAAAAAAAAAACCTACTTGTAAAAGTCTGAGGTGATTTTTTTCATATATTTTCCCAAGGTTATTATTTTCTGTATATCCATGTAATGTAACTATACATAAGTGTATCTGTAAACATACACAATACACATATATACTCCCTTCTTATAATTTTTTTTATATGTTTGACTGTTCTGCCTGCATTGTGTTTGTGTACCATGAGAGTCTGTTGTCCTTAGAAACTAGAAGAGATCCTAGGATCCCCTGCAACTGAAGTTATAGACAGTTTTGAGCTTTAACGTGAGTGCTGGGTACTAAACTGGATGCCCTGGAAGAGCAACATGTGCTCTTAACCAGAGCCATCTCTAGTTCCAATGTTACCTTCTTAACATCCTAAGATGAGACTGCAGTCCACAGTGGCATTTCTCATGTCATCTTCAATAGAGATAAAGTATCTTAAAGTAATAGGTATTTGTGATAGTTAATCTTGACTGTCAACTGGACTGAGAGAGACTTAGATTGGATCAGTACACCTCTGAATATGTGATGTACTTTGCAGGGAGAGAGAGCAACACATCTTACAGGACCAGGATGGAACAGAAGGTAAGAGGAGGCTGTCTATTCCAGGCTTCTTTCTGCTTCCTGGCCGCTGTGAGGCAAGCAGCTCTGCTTCATATGCCCCATGCCTCAATGCTCTGTCTTACCACAGTCCAGAAACCACGGAGCCAGGTAACCATAGGCCATGACTTCTGAAACCATAAGCTCAAACAAATCCTGGTCTCCTTTCAAGCGTTTCTCTTGGGTACTTGATACATCAACATAAAGCCAATACAGCCAGGAATGGTGATACATGCCTTTAATCCCAACACTTGAGAGGAAGAGACAGGAGGGTCTGTGAGTTCAAGGCCAGCCTGGTCTACAGAGTGAGTTCCAGGACAGCCAGAGCTACAGAGAAACTCTGTCTTGAAAAACATACAAATAAACAAAGCAAGAAAAAAAAAAAGCAAACACAAAATTCCTCAGGGGCGAGAGGGAGAATATTTTCTTTAACTCTGTGTTCTACAAATCTCTAAGAAGACAAGTGCTATGATGTATCATAAACGTCTAATTCTCACCAGCCAAACGTTTCACAAGGTAATTTAAACCAAACGATCTCAGCATGTCATAGCCAGCATTCAGCATGTCATAGCCAGCGTTCAGCATGTCATAGCCAGCGCTCAGCATCTCATAGCCAGCGTTCTGGGAAACAGCTGCAATTGTGAAGCCTGTTCCAGCCTCATTATTAAACAGTATCTGTTTCCCATACTGCAAGCTATTCTCCACACCGATGATTTTTAATGGCTCAGAAATTTAATTATTATAATTTACCTTCATTCTTGGTCTACTTTGCTATTAGTCCATTCTACAAATTTTCCCCTCTGATAAACATCTGAGAACAGAATCACAGTTCCTGAGCATATCTGCAAGAACTGGTACATATAATGAAACCGCCCTGCAGGAATGAATACTGGTTTGGTCACCAAGCTATAGCCAACATCTTCAATTAAGGTTTCTTTGCATTTTGAATGGGGAGGCTGAGCACCCACCCCCAGCAGTGTTTCTGCGTACTGTGTTGTTTTATAAACTCCTCACTTCTGTTAGGTCTGTTTTTTTCCACTGGAGAAACTGCATAAAACTCATCAGAAGAGAGTTAATATGGAGACTCAGGGTCATAATAATGGTACTGCATATCTTATACATCTACTGGATGTTTTGGATTTGCCAGTTCTCTAAGAACTCAACTACTGACCCATGACCTATAACCTAGACAGTTTCAGCACCTAGCAATCTAAAAGTAACTGCTGAACCAACACTAAAAGCTGGTGGGCTTTTACAGACAGTGTGTCCATTCTAGAAATGACCTCATGGTTTATCGGAGGCTCTGGCAGAATTCTGCCATAGATGTCATAGAAGCCAGTCACATTTATCTACATGCTATTTTGTTTTTAACAGATTAAGTGTGTGGAAGTAAAATCCAATCAAGTGAAGAGGAATTAGCACCTCTAGCCTATAGATAAGACAGATATATTTTCAAATAACAGAAAGGTAGTTACAATCATCTTGATGCAAACATAGACCCAGAAAAAGGTATGGTCATGCACTCTTACTTGTATCCCTGCTGATAGAATTATAAGGTACAAAGTAACCTTTAAAAAAAAAAAAAAAAAAATTCCTGAATGTAGCTGTGGGGGTTTCAGGAAGAACAACCCCCAAAGGCTCACATATTTGAATACATGGTCCCCATTTGGTGGAACTGTTTGGCAAGGATTAAGAGGTGCAGCTTTCTTGGAGGAGGTGTGTCACTGGGCATGGGCTTTGAGGTTTCAAAAGACATCCCCAGTGTCTCTGTGTTTTGAGGTTGTGTCTCAGGATGTGAGCTTTCAGCTACTGGTCCAGAGTCACGCCTGCCTGCTGCCATGTTTCCTATCATGGTGGTCATGGACCTTAACTCTCTCGAACTAGGAACCCCAAATAAAGAAGACCTGGGATCTCTCCTGCTATACAGTCCTGCTCACTCTCTCCTCTTCCTCCCTCCTAAGCTCCTACTAGGAATCTATAATAAGCTTGTCTCTAAAATCAACACACGCACAGAAAACCTATTTATATAATTGAAAATTACCGAATTTTTGGAGGAGGAAAGTGAACAAATAACAATGAAGACTGGTTTGGCTTTTGCAGGGTCTGTCAGCAGTCTCGAGTCTGCACGCCCTGTGCAAAGGCTCACAATGTCTAGGCTGGAAGCCGTTCATTGGGAACGGGATTCCAACACTCAGTCTCAGCAGCGACAGGAGCTGGCCTTAAGCACTGACGTTCTTACTTTTCTCGGGACCCTAGGGTAGGTGTGAAGAACCTGCTATGAGACAGGTCAGAGTTATAGGGGAGGGAACTAGGTCTCCATGGTGGTGGCCACAATTAGAGACAAGGCTTTACAAAGAGCAATGGAGCAGAAAAACATACTTTGCTTTGATTATCCCAAGGCACACCCCCTGAGCTCTGTCCTAGCATAGCAAATGAGAGCTCCAACAGCAGGAGCATTCTTAAAACCTCAGAAGAGGGGAGGATGGATGACAAGGGACAGGAAAAGGAAGGGAGGGAGAAGAGGTGAGGAGACCCTGGCTAAGGAGAGAACAAAGTGCAACTAGCCTGTGTCAGACTGGGGACTTTAAAGATACCTGCTGTCTTCACCTGTTATGGTTTATATATGCTCTACCTAGGGAGTGGCACTATTAGAAGGTGTGGCCTTGTTGGAGTAGGTGTGTCACTGTGAATGTGGACTTTAAGACCCTCATCCTAGCTGCCTGGATGTCAGTATTCTGCAAGCAGTCTTCAGATGAAGCTGTAGAACTCTCAGCTCCTCCTGCACCATGCCTGCCTGGATGCTGCCATGTTCCCGTCTTGATGATAACGGACTGAACCTCTAGACCTGCAAGCCAGCCCCAAATTAAATGTTGTCTTTATAAGAGTTGCTTTGGTCATGGTGTCTGTAAAACCCTAACTAAGACAGTCGATGCTCAACTGTGGAGCACGTGGACTGTGTCACCAAAAGAACTGGCTTGAAATGATGAGGTGGAACATATTCAAATCCCAGAAATCTCAAGAGTGTGAGATTTAGAAATCTCATCCAGAGACCATCAGGAGTGAACTGACTTCCTGTTTCTGTGCCTGCCTCAGAGCAAGTAACCTAGAGGCTCACAGCCAGGCGGCTCCGGGTCGTCAGTTACATAGGATAGCACAGGGCCTGCAATTCTTCCCAAGGCAAGCAAAGCATCACCGGCATCTTAGCCTCTGCTAATAGAATGTATTAACCCCCAGATTCCATCCCACTCTCTGAGGCTCACAGATAGTCCCCGTCCACATGAAATAAAGCGCACACGTCATTTCATCAAGGATTGTCTGATACTGGCTGTTTTTTACCGAGCTTTAAC